CTTCAACTAAGTCAAGACCTTTGGAGAGAATTAAATTGCTCTTGCACTTATCATTCTGAGTTTGCATCAAGACTTTGGTCATATATTGAACTTTGCGTCAAGGATACTCACATTTGCCTCTGGTAATTTTTTAAGAAAAAAAGCAAAATAAAAGAATCAACAATGACCATGCTATTGAAAGAATAAATGTGCCTTAAGAATTTACTTCTGAATGAGTTCATTGGCGGTGAATTTCACCGGTCTTAGCTAAGCAGTTGATACAACAGAATCTAAATCTGTCTGTGTGGGTTCAAAACCTACTAAAGATCAAATTGCCAAATGATTACCAGAGTCAAAATCTGTTTGTCTTGGACTGTGCGGGTTTAAAAACATGTCAATGAATCTACCAATGATAACATTTTTATTCTATGAAATCACACCTTGACATTGACTCATGCATACTTTCCTGAGAGCTCCATCTCACTGGTCTTAGCCAAGTAGACATTGCAACAAAGTCAAAATCTGTTAGGAGGATAATGATGCATGAACTGAGCCTGAAAGTGAGTTGTAAATATGGATCCTATGAGCCTACAAAGATATGAGTCTCTATAACAATTTTTTTTGCCAGCTAATAGCTGAGGCATGAGGCTAACCAAGAGTTTAGTCTATGAGCAAATTAGATGAGGTGATGCATGCTTCTTGCTTCTGGATATTCCTCTCAGGAATTCTCATTTGTGCTCAGGATGTGAAGCCATGCCACATGGAGCCCAAAGATGTTCTTGGACACAGAAAAGTGCATCCACAAACACCACATAAAGCAGATGTTTGGGAGCGTAAGCTGCAATGTGAAAGTAGACATGAGTCAATGTCAAGGTGTGTTCTCTCAGGAAAAAACATATATCATTCATGAGGAAATGTCAAAGTCTGATTTAATAAAATAAAAATGTTATCATTGGCAGGTTTCAAACCTGCACAGTCCAAGAGAAACAGATTGTGACTCTGGTGATTACTTGACAATTTCATCTTTTGCAGGTTTTGAACCCACACAGACAGATTTAGATTCTGTCATATTAACTGCTCAGCTAAGACCAGTTGAAGGCACTTGCAATGAATTCGTTCAGAAGTGAATCCTCAGGGTGCATTTATCTGCATTTTGTCAGTTCTAATATTAATTTCCAACATCCTCCTTGAGTCCAATTATATGTGATCCTTTCATTGTCAGTTGTCATTCATGAGCCAGTTGTTAATCCAAAAGAAATCACAAACATCATTGGCCCACTGTGGTGGTCTGCCATTAGCACTTTTTCAGAGCAACAGGCCTAAGAATCAATTATGGTAATCACACTATTGAAAGAACTGTCTTGAGGATTCACTTGTGAATGGATCAATTGGAAGTGCATCTCACTGGTCTTAGCCAAGCAGTTGATATGACAGAATCTAAATCTGTCTGTGTGGGTTCAAAACCTGCTAAAGATGACATTGTCGAGTGATCACCAGAGTCAGAATCTGTTTCTCTTGGAATGTGTCGGTTTGAAACCTGTTGCTTGATGCATTGTTTGTATTAGAACATGAACATGTCTTGAATATATGCTCATAGACAGCATCTCAAATGTTGATCTTCATTGGTCTTAGTCGAGTTGTCACCAGAGTCACAATCTGTTTCTCTTGAACTGTGCAGGTTTGACACCTACCGATGACCACATTGTTATTTTTATTCTATGAAATCACACCTTCACATTTCCCACATGAATCTTAAAATGAATCAGAAGGCCTCAATTTTCTGGGTGGCATTATGACTTTCTTGCAAGAAAAACCAAAAAATGAAGCATTCAATGGATTTCAAACTGTCAAGGTGCATTCTCATAAAACAAAAATGTTATTGTTGGCAGGTTTCAAACCTGCACCATCCAAGTGAAACAGATTTTGACTCTGATGATCACTTGCAATTTTATCTTTAGCAGGTTTTGAACCCACAAAAACAGATCTAGATTCTGTTGTATCAACTGCTCAGCTAAGACCAGTTGGATGCACTCCCAATGAATTCATTCAGAAGTGAATCCTCAAGGTACGTTTATCTGCATTTTGTCAGTTCTAACATTACATCATCAGCCCACCATGGTGGTCTGCCATCCATACATTTTTGGAGCAATTGCTGGATAAATAGGTCGGCCCAGAAGAAGTCTGATGTCTTTTGCGATAAGAGTAGAATTAGAAGAAAAAAAATCACGGCGACCATATTATTAAAAGAACTGACAGAATGCAGATAAATATGCCTTGAGGATTCACTTATGAATGGGTCCATTAGGGATGCATCTAACTGGTCTTAGCCAAGCAGTTAATACAACAGAATCTAAATCTGTCTGTGTGGGTTCAAAACCTGCTAAAGATGTTATTGTCAAGTGATCACCAGAGTCAAAATCTGTTTCTCTTGGACCATGCAGGTTTCAAACCTGCCAGTTGTGACATTTTTTTAATATGAAATTACATCTTGAAATATGCTGATGGTCAGTTTGCTTGCAAGCTGATCAAAGTTGTATTTGGCCAAGTGTTATGGTCAAAGTACACCCCCATTTATTCTCCTATCACCGGACAATGGTCACTGTCTGTTACTACTATACAGAGACCAATCACCTTCCAATATATCGTCCATCTCATCACCAAGATCTCTTATCGTGTTGGCAACCGATATCGTTCCTATGCATAGCCTTTATTGCCCTTCCATCTTTTATGCACAGCCCTTATCTCTCGATGTCCCTGATATGTACTTGTATACCTACCATTCTCGGCTTGGTCTATGTGCTCCATATGGACTATTTAAGCACAGTAGTTATCATGTTGTTTCCTCACTTTAATCTACTAGGTTTTACCTGGAGCATCCGCTCTACTAAGGGATCTACCTTAGTAGTCTTGAAACACTATTCTAAGGCAGTCAGCGTCACTGTCCTTAGTCGAATACTCTGAACCTATACTCATAGGAAGAACACTGCTTTGCTAAAAGAGACCATTCGGTCTTAGTGAAGAAGAATGACCCCAGTCATAACACCGAGTGGTTGTCATAACAGAATCAAAATCTGTTTCTATTGGAATGCAACAGGTTTGAAACCCATTGAATGTCACATTTTTTCTATGAGAACATGTCTTGAACATTTTCTCAAAGACAGTATCTCAGACATCGATTTTCATTGGTCTCAGTCAAGTTGTCACCAGAGTTAAAATCTGTGTCTCTTGGACTTTGCAGATTTGAAACCTGCTGATGATTATATTTTTATTCTATGCAATTACAATCTGATATTTTCTCATGGATAGTTTTCTCCAAAACACATCATAAATACTCTTTTCCATATCATTGCCACAATAGATTCAAAATATGTTTCAATCAAAGCCTACAGATTTGCAATCAGTCAAATGATGCATTTCTTTTTCATGCTGCAACATGCTCAATTGAATATTTGCTCATGGACAGTTTCTCAGACTTTGATCTTCATTGTTGCTAGTTCAGGAGTTATCAAAGTCAAAATCTGATTTTCCTGTACCGAGCAGGTCAAAAACATGTATCACTCAGCATATTTCAAGCATGCACAGTTCAAGAGAAACAGACTTCAATTCTGTTGCAACAACCACTTGGCTAAGACTGGTTATAATGAGTTTTTGAGACAACCATCTATGAGCAAATGTTTGAGGTATATTACTTTTACTCATATGTTGTTCAGCTTTTAAGTGTGTGGTTTGATTCCTTCAGAATCCACTTTTATTGTAAACTTCACTCTTTTGTGGTCTGGATTAGTGTTCCCTTTCAGATCCTTTGGTCTGTATACTTTTTAAACTCTACACGCTCAGAAGGTCTATCTTTGTCGATCACAGATCCCTTTGAGCATTAGCTGACTTTTCACGATTCATTATCCTCACTCAGACCCCTGCCTTCCTGCACCAGTATGGCAAATTCAGACCTTCCCATGCACATAACAAATAAAAAACCTAACAACACTATTTTGATTCATGACCAAAGTCTTGATGCAAACTTGGAGGGATAAGTAAAAGAACAATCCAATTCTTTTCAAAGGTCTTGACTTGGTTGAAGAGAAAGAAGAGCAAGTTACACATCAAACCTTCAAGTTTGATCCTAATGACCTGGGGAAGGAGAAAAAATACAAATTTATCAAGGCTGAGATTCTTTATTGTGCTTATTCAAGTGGTTGCCAGAGTCAAAATATATTTCTCTTAAACTAAGCAGGTCTGTAATCTGTATGATGATGTGTATTGAAAGAACTGACAAAATGCAAATAAATGTGCCATGAGAATTCACTTTTGAACGAGTTCATTGGAAGTACATTCAACTAGTCTTAGCCAAGCAGTTGATACAACAGAATCTAAATCTGTCTGTGTGGGTTCAAAATATGCTAAAGATGAAATTGCAAGTGATCACCAGACTCAAAATCTGTTTCTCTTGAACCATGACAGGTTTGAAACCTGTCAATGATAAATTCTTTTTTTCTACAAAAATATGTCTTGACATTTCCTCATGGAGTTTGAAATGTGTTGAATGGTGCATTTTTGCTATTAGAACATGTCTTAAATATCTGCTCATGGACAGCATCTCAGACATTGATTTTGATAAGGAAATGTCAAGGTGTGATTTCATAGAACAAAAATGTTGTTAGTGGCAGGTTTCAAACCTGCACAGTTCAAGAGAAACAGATTTTGAATCTGGCGACAACTTGACCAAGATCAATAAAGATCAATATCTGAGATACCATCTATGAGCAAATATTTAAAATATGTTCTTACAGAAAAAATGTGACATCCCACAAGTTTCAAACTTGTTGCGCTCCGATGGAAACAGATTTTGATTCTGTGATCACAGCCATTTGGCTAAACACAACTGTGATTGGCTTGCAAGCAAACCGACCATGAGCACATTTCAAGGTGTGTTTTCATAGAAAATGAATTGTATCACTGGTAGGTTTCAAACCTGCGCAGTCCAAGAGAAACAGATTTTGACTCTGGGGATCAGATGGCAAATCCATCTTCAGCAGGTTTTGAACCTGCGCAGACAGATTTATATTCTGTTTCCATTAACCGCTTGGCTAAGATCAGTGAGACACACTCCTAATAATGCCCATGAATAGTTCCTCAGACACAGATCTTTACTGGTCTTAGTCAAGTGGTCAACAGAGTCAAAATCAGTTTCCATCAGACTGTGCATGTTTGAAATCCGCCAACAGTGATGTCATTTTGTGTTTATAAAAAACACATCTTATTATGACTCATGCCACACATGTGGCTTCCCTTTCTTGACTCATGTCCCCTGCACGTTGTATTCTTACCATTGGTCCAATCCAAATTTTCTTGGTCTTATTCCCATTTTGACAATCCAACTGGTCTTAGCCAAGCAGTTGATACAACAGAATCTAAATCTGTTTGTGTGGGTTCAAAACCTGCTAAAGATGTATTTGCCAAGTGATCATGAGAGTCAAAATCTGTTTCTCTTGGACTGTGCAGGTTTGAGACCTGCCAGTGATAAAATTCATTTTCTATGAAAACACACCTTGAAATTTGCTCATGGTTGGTTTGCTTGCAAGCTGATCACAGTTGTATTTAGCTAAGTGGCTGTCATAACAGAATCAAAATCTGTTTCCATCGGAGTGCAATAAGTTTGAAACTTGTTGAATGTCATCAGATTTAAAATCTGTTTCTCTTCAGCTGTGCAGGTTTGAAACCTGCCAACATCAATATTTTTATTCTATGAAATCCAAAATGGTGGAACTTGATGAATCACGAGTTAATGCAAAAGACACATCGTTATACAAATTACAAACCTGCTTAGTTCAAGAGAAATATATTTTGACTCTGGCAACCACTTGTTGAATAAGCACAATAAAGAATCTCAGCCTTGATAGATTAGATTTGTATTTTTCCTCATTCCCCAGGTTATTAGGATCAAACTTGAAAGTTTGGTGTGGTAATCTGCTCTTCTTCTTCTTCTTCTTCTTCAACCAAGTCAAGACCTTTGGAAAGAATTATATTGTTCTTGTACTTATCCTTCTGAGTTTGCATCAAGACTTTGGTCATATATTGAACTCTGTGTCAAAAACACACTGTATGATCCTTCCATTGTCAGTTTTCACTTTGAACAGCAGCAGGTTTGAAACCTGTCTTTTATTTTTATTTTTATTCTATGAAAGCACACCTTGACATATGCTTATGGTCAGTCAGCTTGTCAGCTAATCAGAGGCAGGTTTGAGCAGGATAAAAAGGAATCACTTCTGAATGTATTTATTAGGAGTGCATCTAACTGGTGTTAGCCAAGCAGTTAAATACAACAGAATCTAAATCTGTCTGTGTGGGTTCAAAAACTGCTGAAGATCAATTTGCCAAGTGATTACCAGAGTCAAAATCTGTTTCTCTTGGACCTGTGCAGGTTTGAAACCTGCTGGTGGTACAATTCATTTTCCATGAAAACACACCTTAAAATTTGCTCATGGTCGGTTTGCTTGCAAGCCAATCACAGTTGTGTTTGGTCAAGTGGCTGTGATCACAAATTGAAATATGTTTCCATTGGAGCGCAACAAGTTTGAAACTTGCGGGACGTCACATTTTTTCATATAAGAACATGTCTTGAATATTTGATCATAGACAGTATCTCAGACATTGATCTTCAATGATCTTGGTCAAGTCATTACCAGATTCAAAATCTGTTTCTCTTGAACTGTGCAAGGTTTGAAACCTGCCACTAACAACATTTTTGTTCCATGAAATCACACCTTGACATCTCCTTATCAAGATCAATGTCTGAGATGCTGTCCATGAGCAGATATTTAAGACATGTTCTAATAGCAAAAATGCAACATTCAACAGATTTCAAACTCCATGAAGAAATAATGTCAATGCATATTTTTATTAAAAAAAAGAATTTATCATTGACAGGTTTCAAACCTGTCATGGTTCAAGAGAAACAGATTTTGAGTCTGGTGATCACTTGCAATTTCATCTTTAGCATATTTTGAACCCACACAGACAGATTTAGATTCTGTTGTATCAACTGCTTGGCTAAGACCAGTTGAATGCACTTCCAATGAACTCATTCAAAAGTGAATTCTCAATGCACATTTATTTGCAATTTGTCAGTTCTTTCAATACACATCATCATACAGATTACAGACCTGCTTAGTTTAAGAGAAATATATTTTGACTCTGGCAACCACCTGGGATTCACTTATGAATGAATTCATTGGGAGTGTATCCAACTGGTCTTAGCTGAGTAGTTGATACAACAGAATCTAAATCTGTTTCTGTAGGTTCAAAACCTGCTAAAGATAAAATTGCAAGTGATCATTAGAGTCAAAATCTGTTTCTCTTCAGATTGTGCAGGTTTGAAACCTCCCAATGATAACATTTATTTTATTTTATGAAAATGCACCTTGATGGTTTGAAATCCATTGAATGCTGCATTTTTTCTATTAGAAGATGATGTCTTGAATATTGAATCGTAGACACTCTCTCAGACACTGATCTTCATTAGTCTTAGGTCAAGTTTCCACCAGAGTCAAAATCTGTTTATCTTGAATCCGTGCAGATCATAACATTTTCTCATAGATAGTTTTCTCAAAAACTACATTTAAAGATGGTCTTAGCCACATCCATTAAAACCCATCAGATGACACACTTTTTTTCATATTGCAACATGCTCGATTGAATATGCTAACATTCATATTGTTGGCTCTCATATCCTCACTCTGTACACTTCATAGTATCCCTCCACTCAGTTCGCTTTCTTGCAGCAGTCAGATCCTGATGGGTGTGAGGTCAAAATTCTGAGAGTGAGAAACAGTGTCCAATGCCAAAGCGTTGGATCTGAGATTTTTGGGTTTTTGGTTTAGAATAAAAATAAAATGTTATCATTAGTAGGTTTCAAACCTGCATAGTTTAAGAGAAACAGATTTTGACTCTGGTGACAACTCGACTAAGACCAATGAAGATCAACATTTGAGATGCTGTCTATGAGCAGATATTCAAGACATGTTCATGTTCTAATACAAAAAATGCATCACTCAACAGGTTTCAAACCTGTAGATTTCAATGGAAACATATTTTGAATCTATTGTGGCAATGACATGGCTAACATCAGTTGAGATCAGTTTTTGAGAAAATCACTCATGAGACAATTGTCAAGATGCGTTTTCATAGAAAACAAATTTTATCATTGGCAGGTTTCAAACCCGCGCATTCCAAGAGAAACAGATTTTGACTCTGGTGATCATTTGAAAATGACATCTTTAGCAGGTTTTGAACCTACGCAGACAAATTTAGATTCTGTCGTATCAACTGTTTGGCTAAGACCAGTGAGATGCACTTCCAATGGACCCATTCACAAGTGAATCCTCAAGGCAGTTCTTTCAATAGCATGATCACCATAATTGATTCTTAAGCCTGTTTATCTAGCAATTGCTCTGAAAAAGTGCTGATGACAGACCACCACAGTGGGCCAATGATGTTTGTGACGTCTTTTGGATTAACAACTGGGTCATGAATGACAACTGACAATGGAAGGATCACATATGATTGGACTCAAGGAGGATGTTAGAAATTAATGTTAGAACTGACAAAATGCAGATAAATGTACCTTGAGGATTCACTTGTGAATGGGCTCAAATAATGCTTTGGGGTTTCTATAGCTTTCACCTCACTGTCATGCGGTGCAAATGTGTTTTCCATCTCACCTCACCTCACCTCACCTAATTTTCTTGTAGACTAAACTCTAAAAGTTCAATATAACCAAAGTCTTGATGCAAACTCGGAATAATAAGTACAAGAGCAATTTAATTTTATCCAAAGGTCTTGGACTTGGTTGAAGAAGAAGAGCAGATTACACATCAAACTTTCAAGTTCGATCCTAATGTCCTGGAGAATGAGAAAGAATACACATTTTTCAAGGCTGAGATTCAAAAGAGCCATCCAGCCATTATTCACTTATGTATAAGGTTGAAGTGCACTGTATTTGAGACCTTTCATCATCATGTTGCTCTCCTCTTGCTTTTTGTATTCAATTTATCTGTTCAGCTGAGGAAAAACATTGCGAGTGACAGGGAACAGTAGACTCGCCTTGCAGATTCACTTCCGAATGTTTTCTTTCAAGATGGATCTAATCGGTGTTAGTCAAACAGTTGCTGCAACAGAATCCAAATCTGTTTCAAATCTGTGCATGTGGGTTCAAAACCTGCTAAAGATGAAATTATCAGAGTCAAAATCTGTTTCTCTTGGACTATGCAGGTTTCAAACCTGCCAATGATAGAATTCTTTTTTTATTTATGAAACCACACCTTGACACATGCTCATGGTCAATTTGCTTACAAGCTCATCAGAGCTGTGTTTAGCCAAGTGGTTGTCCCAACAGAATCAACATCTGTTTCTATTGGAATGCAACAGGTTTGAAACCTGTTGAATGTCGCATTTTTTCCATAAGAACATGCCTTGAATATCTGCTCATAGACAGTATCTCAGACATAGATCTTCATTAGCCTTAGTCAAGTTATCATCAGAGTCAAAATCTGTTTCTCTTGTACTTTGCAGGTTTCAAACCTGCCAATGGTAATATTTTTATTCTATGCAATTACACCCTGACATTTCCTGATGCAAGTAAAAAAATATGAAAGCTCAGAATCCAGTGAATTCATGCACTTATGATACAGTGGTCTTCATTCATGTCATTGCCCACCAAGTTACATATATCTACATACTCTCTTCATAAGCACTTTGGCTCTGCCTTGTGGAAGCTGTTATGACTGGGGTCGTTCTTCTTTACAATGACTGAATGGTCAAGTCAAAGTGTAAAGTGGTGTCTGCCTATGAATATAGGGTGAAGGTTTCTGGCTAAGGACAGTGTCACTGGCTGCCTTAGAATAGTGGTTCAAGACAGTAAGGTTGGAGACCTTACTGAAGGACTAGTTTCCAAGTAAAACCCAGTAGATTAAAGTGAGGAATACAAGCAGTAACTACTGTGCTTAAATAGTCCATATGGAGCGCACAGACCAGGCTAAGAAAGGTAGGCATAAAGTGCATATCAAGATAGGAACAAAGATAAGAGACAAGAGTCCTTTATCAAGATATGGACTATGCATGATAGCAGGTTGCTAGCGCAATAAGAAGCTTTAGCGATCATATGAGTAAGGTACTGGAAGGTGATCCGACATTCCTTAGTAGAGACGGTCATAGACCATTGTCCAGTAATGTAAGAATAAATGGGGGCATACTTTAATCATAACAGAAGCATGTTTAGTGAGGCATATGCATCTGTTTCTGGTTTTTGTAACTTAGCTTCCTACAGTGCACTACTACTGTATCATTCCAAGCACTCCCATAGCACAGTTTGACTCGTATTTCATTTGGTGCACCTGGCATTTCAGCCCACACTCACTAGCACAAGCACTTTCTTTTGTGAGTCCACCCACTAACTAGCTTCTACTGACATAGTATTGACTAGTTATCATCACAATGCTGACAATATCATATTCCATGCTATGTTTGTAGTACAATATTTCAGAAGAACTTACACCACTAGCCTTTCTGATTTCAATGCCAGAAGAGCATACAATGTCTGTGTTTATGCACATAAACTCTGTGCTGCAAAATAGTCAAGATGTCTGTACCTTAGTGGATATAATACAGATCCAACAGTGGTATATGTACGATCCTGCTGTAAGTACCCACTACCATTTTCAGTTCCTTGCTCACAAGAGCATAGTCAAAATATCCAGAGCATCTGACCATTAATTTATATGATCTTAATGCACAAATATTTGGGTCAAATTTGAAAGAGGGCAAATGGGAACACAATGAAATTAACAGCTTACTGTCAACCAATAGCTGTGATGAATGTGAAGAGATTTAATAAGATGAGGCTGGTACTTGGTTGGATGATATGCAGAAGAGTTCCACAACACTCGACAACATTGAATATAATGTGGAACCTGAGATAGACTTGATTGCTGATGGGTTCCTTGTGGTGTTAGTTGACTTGGCTCCTGATGGCACAGGGAAGAATAAGGATGAGGGTAGGGTTGAGGAGATACAGGTGCTTGATAGTGGTGATGACAAGTGGCCAACAGAATGGCCTTAGCTAGTGTCTTTTTTGCGCTAGCTAATTAGATGGAGTTTTTAGCGACTTCTTAGCTGGCTAAAAAGCAATGTCATGTGACTAGCTAAAAAGCAGCTAGTATATAAGACCCTCAGGACTTCCTGGCTAAAAAGCTTGCTATTATTTGCCTGTATGGTTTTATTCTGAACCCTAAGCCAGATGCAGATCAAAACCTACTCAGAATTACTTAGCATTGATAGTAAAATTGTGCAATGACATATGAAGGATGCTTGCTAAATTTTGCTGCAAAACTAGTACAAAGCTGTTAGACATGGAAATTTTGCAAGCAGGTTTTGAACCTGCATAATTTGAAAGAAACATGTTTTGACTCTGTTGCAACAACTACTTGTCTATGACAAATGAGATAAAACTCTCAGGAAGGGCCTGGACAGCTGCCATTTATTTCTCAGTTTGTTCCGCAGTTTGTTTCATTCACCACAATATATACAAACAATAGTGACATAGGGTTTAGTTAGGGTCTAGTCACACATGAGCCTAATGCCACCTCCAACAAGAGAGCAAGTTCACCAGTTCCATCTCCTCCGGATGGCAGCGGCAATGGTTGTCCAGCTCATAATAGGTGTTGTCATTGTTTATATGACCCCATTTCTCAATAAAGAGCTATCTCACAGATGCTCAGTTTGGGATATGCAACTCACTCCTTGTTTCAAACCAAGGTGTTTGGTACCATTTGGCTGAATGGGGTTGAGCTGCAGTTCAGTGAGCAATATATGACTAGGTCAATGTAGTAGAGTCTTCTCAATGCTGTGACAGGCCAAAAACATTGAAAGAAATTTACAATCTTTGGCACGCTCAAGCTCATAATGTCATTGAGAGAATATTTTGGGTTCCCAAGAGGTGTTTCACAATACTTATTAAGAATGTGCTCAAGGGTCGTATCCAAAGGGCTTGGCTTCAGCTCATGCACTGCGCCCCTTACCCGAGTACATGCCCCTAACTTCCGAGGACTAACAGATGATGTCTGGAGTCCGATGCGCAGTGTAGCACTCGGATCGGCATTGGGCTTGTATCCTGCATCAGGAAAAAGGGATTTTGCCATTTTTGGCTTTATATTCAAATAGAGCCACAATGGGCTATATTTGAATATATGTATGCTATAGTTGCAACTTGAATAATATTATAGTTAGATTCTTTAGGAAAAAGGGTATTTGCTCATTTGATGTATCTAAATCTGCAATTATAGTAACTATAGTTGATTGTAGTTGGCTGTAGTCAGCTTTTCGTCGGAAAAAGTTCCCACGGTCAAAGTGCTTTCTTGAACCATCCACTTTCGAGTATTTTGCTTACAACTCACTAGGATCTTAACCTATTGATGTCATAAGACTATGGATAGACTTTCCTTGACAAGGGCTATGACTTTGATTTTCATCGGAAAAGTTCCCACGGTCAAGGTGCTTTCTTGAACTGTCCACTTTTGAGTATTTTGCTTATAACTCACTAGGATCTTAACCTATTGATGTCATAAGACTATGGATAGACTTTCCTTGACAAGGGCTATAACTTTGATTTTCATCGGAAAATGTTCCCACGGTCAAGTAAGCAAAATGCGAAAATTCACCAAGTCAAAATTCACTAAGTCTTGTGATGTGGCTTTGTTTGGCACAGCTTATATAAGCAAAAGTGCGGTCAACCACAAGTCTTTTCCTATCTTTTCCTTCCTTTCCCTCCTCCTCATTCTCCTTCTAGTCAATAATTTTCGCATTTTTGAGTATTTGGTAAGTCTTTTCTTCTTCTTTTCCTTCCCTCTCTGACCCTCTCCTTCTAGCTCCTTCTTCCTTCCCTCCTCCTCCTCCTCCTACTCAATCATTTTTACATTTTTGACCATTTGGTAAGTCTTTCTCTCTTCTTCCTCTTCCCTCTCTGACACCCCTTCTTCTAGCTCCTCATTTTCGCACTTTTGAGTATTTGGCGAGTCTCCTCCTCTTCTTCTTCTTCTTCCCTCTCTGATACCCCTTCTAGCTGCTCCTCCTTCTTCCCTCCCTCCTCCTCCTCCTCCTCCTACTATAGGCTCATCCTCTCCAATTTTCGCATTTTTGGCTATTTAGTAAGTCCCTTTTTATTTTCCTATCTTTCCTCTCTGACTCCCTCTTATACTAGTAGCCTTCTGCCCTTCTCCTCCTCCTCCTCTCTTAATTTTCGCATTTTTGCCTCTTTTGTAGTTAGTAGTTTACACCTGTTGTAGTAATTACTTGAAATATTACTTGAATTTTCGCATTTTTGGTGTTTTGACTAGAATATAAATGCAAATATAGTGCACTAGAGGAAAAAAATCAAGGTGCCTCCAAATTTTGGCAGTTGAATATATGTGCATAAATGTGCTACTGGCTACACAAGTTGACTATATGTGACTATATGTCCTCTCTATAGAGGGGGGGATTGCTTTAGATCCTATGAGGTCTATAGACACTATATATTCATATATAGTGCTATATGAGCTAATATAGCAATAACCCTTTTTCCTGATGTGCCAATTCCATAGGTATCCCACACACATATTCCTCGACACTCCATTTACCTTCCGAGAGTTTCGCGCACTCGTCCGAGTCATCCGAAGGTCGTTCATTCATTTCCGAGGCCTGTATACAGTCCCGATCCTCCATACCATGTCCCGTTCGTGTCCGTTTGACTTTGCTGGTGCGTTTTTCACTTGGTTATCTGTTATTGATTATGTCTAGGGGCACATATGTTGTCGGCCCATCGGTTACACGTATAACAACACACCTTGCGCTTTATTACATGCATACCTCTGTAGCGGCTCGCCTCGAGTCTTATTACATTTCGGATGTCTTATCTTGCTACTGGTTTCGCCTACACAGTTTCCAGACTTTCATGCTGTAGGATATAATCTGCCTCGCTAGATACTCGCACTTCACTTCACTTTCCCTGCTATGAGTCATAGTTAGTAGAGTCACTTTCGGATAGTTGTACTTCGCGCAATTGATCCTTGTTCATTCGGAATGATTGTTTTGGCCTGACCACTGCCATTCCACTCTTCGCTGTCTCTAAGTTCCCCCGATAGACTTTGCTTAGTTATACTTTGCAAGTCTTATACTTTGATACACCCGCCGTACTTCTCTCAGAACCTTCACTGTTCATCGGAAGCTCTTCGGATGCTTTGCGCAACCTCAGACCTTCATTTCTAGACGTCGGACCACCTTCGGACCACTTCGGACGAGTACTTTGGTACTTCAGACACATCCTCAGAACACCGAGTGCACTCTTGGTAGCTTTTCCTTCTCTCACCTTCGATCTTAACAAGATATCCCTTGCTTTATATCAAGGAGCATTTCTATAGGCAGTCTCTTTGGGACAAACATCTCACTCACACTCTGAGTCTTAAGGTAACACTTTTGTAGCGCCCACATAGAATCAACTCTTTACAGCGGGAATTCCAGTGGATGTTTGGGAACAAGTGATAAGACTAATCCGGACGAAGTCCAAACTAGAAAGGAAACAGCGGAGGACTACCAAAGGTAGAGGCGGAGGTGGTAAGTCAATAGGAGTTGATCCTAAGACTATCGGAGACAATGAGAGGAGACTCAAGTCGGACAGAGGAGGGAATGAGCAGAATCTAAGATGATATTCGAACTGAGGAAATATGGAGACTTTACAGGGTTTATATACTATGTAGGACATAACAGAGAATCAGTCAGCACAGTGCGAGGCTATGCGAGGCTATGGATGGATCATGTGAAACACCTAACACTAGTGTATCAGAACTTAATAAAATGAAGACAGAAATGAATAAGGTACAGAAAATAAAGCATAGTTGGTTATAGGGATAACTGGATGTCCGGAAACAGGGGCTAACTGAGAAGGGACGTACTAAAGGGAAAAGGCACAGAAGATAGAAGCTGGCCGGTGTAGGATGTGAAGAGAGTATGTAGATATATGTAACTTGGTGGGCAATGACATGAATGAAGACCACTGTATCATAAGTGCATGAATTCACTGGATTCTGAGCTTTCATATTTTTTTACTTGCATCAGGAAATGTCAGGGTGTAATTGCATAGAATAAAAATATTACCATTGGCAGGTTTGAAACCTGCAAAGTACAAGAGAAACAGATTTTGACTCTGATGATAACTTGACTAAGGCTAATGAAGATCTATGTCTGAGATACTGTCTATGAGCAGATATTCAAGGCATGTTCTTATGGAAAAAATGCGACATTCAACAGGTTTCAAACCTGTTGCATTCCAATAGAAACAGATGTTGATTCTGTTGGGACAACCACTTGGCTAAACACAGCTCTGATGAGCTTGTAAGCAAATTGACCATGAGCATGTGTCAAGGTGTGGTTTCATAAATAAAAAAAGAATTCTATCATTGGCAGGTTTGAAACCTGCATAGTCCAAGAGAAACAGATTTTGACTCTGATAATTTCATCTTTAGCAGGTTTTGAACCCACATGCACAGATTTGAAACAGATTTGGATTCTGTTGCAGCAACTGTTTGACTAACACCGATTAGATCCATCTTGAAAGAAAACATTCGGAAGTGAATCTGCAAGGCGAGTCTACTGTTCCCTGTCACTCGCAATGTTTTTCCTCAGCTGAACAGATAAATTGAATACAAAAAGCAAGAGGAGAGCAACATGATGATGAAAGGTCTCAAATACAGTGCACTTCAACCTTATACATAAGTGAATAATGGCTGGATGGCTCTTTTGAATCTCAGCCTTGAAAAATGTGTATTCTTTCTCATTCTCCAGGACATTAGGATCGAACTTGAAAGTTTGATGTGTAATCTGCTCTTCTTCTTCAACCAAGTCCAAGACCTTTGGATAAAATTAAATTGCTCTTGTACTTATTATTCCGAGTTTGCATCAAGACTTTGGTTATATTGAACTTTTAGAGTTTAGTCTACAAGAAAATTAGGTGAGGTGAGGTGAGGTGAGATGGAAAACACATTTGCACCGCATGACAGTGGGGTGAAAGCTATAGAAACTCCAAAGCAT